TTGGGAGCTCTCGTGGTGTGCAACAAGCAGAGAAGGATCAGAAATAGATGTCTCATCAGAACACCCAGGACTTACCAAGGTTCAGGAAAAATTTACTCTGGGTCTGGACTGGAGCCTGCCATTTGGGCAGTCCTGGCTTAAAGCAGATAACCAAAATATCTATAGATGTTGGTTTTATTGCTTTGAGGTCATCAGTGTCTAAAGCATCTGTTGTGCAGAAGTGTATGCATGAGTGCTGTGCAGGTTAGTATTTTTTTAATATACACTGCAGGAGCCACAGCCATGTGTGGTTTTATCAGCATATATGTTTACATGTTCTTTGTCATCTGTAGAGCTGGGTGGGCAATTAGCAATAGAAAAGGGTGATTCAAAGAGATATTAGATTTGATAAAACTTTCTTTGGTCAGGTTTCTCTTTACCACAATGGGGCTTTTCATCACCAAGTCAAGTTCTTCAGAGAAGCCAATAACCCAGAAGCCACATGCTGACCCACAAAATGGGAAAGCTAGTTTCAGACCTCTGCCAATTGTGTAGCAGGCTGTCAGACAAAAGCATTATTCTGATCACAGTAGGCAGCATTTCAAATCTTTAAAATAAACATGGATTTTTTTCTTAATCTTATCCAATTGTGTCATATACGTTCATACATATACTGAGTAATGATTTTTAAAAGACACATACAGTGTTTGTTACCACTGAGCCACCAGGTATCAGAACGCTACAAATACATGTTCCAGAATTAATGTTTTAAGAAACAGTCAAAAAAAGTTGCATCAAGCTAAAATGGGTACCTGCAGAAGAGTGCCAGGTGAATACTCCTCTTCTTCAAGGACAAGTTTAGAGCCATACCAAAAGGCTAATGCATAACACAGGAAAATTATAAGCCACATGTAACCAGTGAATAATCCCATTATTATTCCTTTTCGAATTCCCCAGTGCTGAGCAAACACCAGATTCTTATCATATCTGTAGAAACAGAGAAAAATAAAAGGAGATTAAATTAATTTGACAGAAAATGCAAAATTAGCAGAGACCAACAAAATGAGGCATCTTCAATGACTGCCTGTGCTACAGTTAACAGAGGGTCCACATAAGGTTGATACCTCTCACTCTGAAGCGAGAGACCGCTGCTGAAACCAGCAATGCTCCCCAATCACTAAATCCTTATATGTTCTACTGTAATAAGCACAAGAAAAGCCACACTCACTGCAGACACTGCACCACAGGGTTTGCGTTTTTAACAGAGTGATGCAGGATTTGAGAATTTGGCCAACGCTTCAGGGCACGTCCTACAGCCATGTTATGTTTTAAATGAATTTATGAGAGATTTGCAGCTTAACATCATCAAATCATTATGTGTTGCTGGAATTAGTCCTCTTACTTAGCTTGAAAGTACTCAGAGTTTTCATACGTGCTACAAAAATGATATATCAGACAATGTTTAGGGGAAAAATTGACGGCATGTTCCTACAAGTGGGAATGACTTGAAGACAGTACTGATGATGATTTATTTCAATGATTGACTGAATCATGAAACTGGTTTTGCATATGTAATGTTATTTGAAACCTAAACTTCTGTAACATACATGCATATAATTCTCAACTCCGAAGTGCATTTACAGCATTACGTTGCTACAGGCAAAAGAAACTGGAGACCTTACAATTCATCCAAACAAACCTTTCAACTTCTTTCTTCTCCCCACCAAAAGCAGCCACTGTTCTGATGGATGAAAGCACTTCATCAGCCACAGCTCCAGCTTTTGCATAAGCCTTTAATTCTCGGCCTGTTAGTTTTGCCACAGCCTACAAAAGCATAAGAAAGTACTGGTTACACATGAACTGTAGGCGCAGGCAAAGGCAGTGGTATGCAGTGCTGGCTGTCACACTGCACTGCCTGCTGTGCCGCAAGCCACCTCCTCCGCTCCGAGCAGGCTTTTATTAGGCATGCTGCACACTTGAAGACTTCTGTCTTCTAGTATTAGGGCATATACCTCTGTAGCATATGTTTTGCAGAACAGTTATCCCCTTGGCCAACAGCTCTGCTCCAGGTAGCTAGAAAGAGCAGCTGACCACCACCTACTTTCCCTCCCTCACTCTCTCTCTGCTCCTAACTGGGCTTAAGCAGATTGCAGGCTGAGGGTTCGTGCATCACAGGAGGAAGGGGAGCTTAAGTGGGAAGGACAGCCCTTTAGCCACTGTGGCAGAGCCCAGCTTCAGGAAGGAGAGGTAATGGTACTGATGGGGGAGGACGGAAACAGATGTTGCCCACCACTGTGCTTTGTTTCTTGGGCTGACAACAAACAGGTCCCTACACAGCAGCCCAGAGCACACTGGATGCCAAAAAGCTTACTTAGACTCAAAAAAATGCTCAAATTAGTGGAAGAAAATGTAGCCATGTACAATTCTACACAAGGATACGACATTGGCTTGTGAATGACATATCATTAGAAATTGAAGTGTCATTATTTGCTTTCTCTCATCAAATACTCTAACCCAGGCATCTACTAGCCACTTCTGGAGACAGGAAACCAGGCTAGATTGACCTTGGGTCTGTTTTCTTTATGGTAAAAAACAAAGACTTGGGCTGGAAAGGCTCGTAAGGAGGAAACACTTAACAGTGGGTATGTGAAAGGAAAGAGATGGGGACAGAGAAATAAGAATGGAAAGGGGGAAAATTGCAAACATAAAGGGGAATGAGCTCAGAAAGGAATTGAAAATGAAGGAAAGAGGCATTTGGGGGTTTATTTCATTCCTTGCCAGGATTATGCTCTCCCACTTCACACTGAGTCATTATGCATGTAATCTACTTGCAGCCAGCACAAGGTGCTAAAGGAGAACAGGAAGACAAGAAATTAGTCAGAGTTACATTAGAGGTTTGATCACAAAATGATAGCAAACTGTTCCTGACGTGGAAGGAGTGAGATGGCCAAAGGGCTGAACCCAGCACCAAAGAGCAGTGTGAGAGAGTGCAGAGGAGGAGCAGGAACTGCCCAGCCCTGCTGGGTGTGAGGGAAGACATGAGAAGGCAAAGGATCCTGCAGTTTCCCTCTTTGCTGTCCTTCCTCTGCACAGCAACAGGGAGTTTGTAGGGAGCAGGTGGAGGAGCAGAACAGGAACATCTGGGAGAGGACACAGCAGCTGCCAGGAGCAGGGACAGCTTCAGGTAAGTTTGAGCAGTTGTTTTCAACTATTTTACAACTCCGAAGATTGATCCTCTCTAAAAACCTCTAATCTACATAGAGAAATCAAGCCCCATGTCTGGTAACCATCTAAACTAGGTGTGTAGGAATAGAGAGGTGTAGGCCAGGTTCTGGTCTCAGCAACCACAATATCCAACCACGGGACCCAATAGAAGGTATGCTTACACTCCCATCTTAGAAGCAGGATGCATTATTCCGGGAATCAGAATAAGCAAAGAGGGAAGCCCACCTCCCTGCTCCCCCACCGCTGGTGCTCCTGTGACCATAATCTGCCTCTCTTGACTTTAAAGGGGTGTAACAGCCTTCTCGTCCACCAAAACTCCCAGCTCTATGGCATGACCTTCCCTGCTCATCATACCTCAACATGAACCTCTCACAATTCACTTACCAAGCCATAGACAGCTGCTCCAACCCCAAGCAGAGGGCTGGCTGCAATGATAACCAAGGTCAATTTCCAGCCACTGACAAAGCCCAGTAGGAATCCACACACAAAGGTGGTTAAGCGCTGGATAAAGATTGCTGCTTGGTCAGCAATAGCCTCATTAATTTTGTTTACATCACTGGGGAAAAAAAAAAAAAGAAAAAAACAACAGAAGATGGTGAGCATATCTTTCATTTGTGTTGCAGGTCTTGGCCACATTCGGGTTAGTTGCTTTCCCTTGGAGAGGGCCCTTCCTCACCCCTATTCTTTCCACCATCCCCCCTTCCAAAGACCCTGGGCTACAGTGAGAAAAGCTGGTGCCTTTGCAATGGCAGAAGACTTTTATGCACGAATACTGCAGAGAAGATACTGTCTTTTCCCAGGAAAAGCTGCCCTGTCAGCGGACCCATTCACTCACTGGTTCTTACTACTGTGTCCCAGCTGATTCAAAGGAGGGGGCAGCTGGATGCAGCTATTTGATAGTGGAAAAACAGTATAGGTGATATGGCATTCCTCCCATCACGGAGCACTGAGAATGTACCATACCGCCTTGGTGAGGGGGCAGGAAAAGGGAGGAGGGCTGTAACTCTCTTCTAGTTCCACCTTCCACCACCTCCCTGTTTCTCTCTCCACTCTGTCAGGTAGTTTGTTCTCTAAATGAGAGGGAGAAGGGCTACTTTATCACTGGAGGCAGTGGGAAAACATGGCAGCTCTATCACATGGGGGACAGTGGTGCAACGGTTAACATCATTCGACCCCTAGGCAGCTGCAGAGTTCATTTGTTCTCTCTTATGTATTGCCAACACAGAAAAAAATGTCTTGAAGCAAAGCAGACAATATACTTCTGCCACTCTTGGCTATTACCTCACCCCTGAGATTAGAAGAACTGGGAACTCCTGGAATAAATAGGAGCAAGTGGCATTGAGGTTTAAAGTGCAGAGTTGTTAGCTCATTGATATATCAAGTGAAATTACAGTCCTCTACTGAAAAATTTAAGCGTTGAGTTGAAGAACATGTTTCTATTTCTTCTGGATAATGTTTTTTGCAGTCAGGAAGCTTTTTGCAGGCACAGGACAATGTTGTTCAAAAAAACGGGGAACTGTTATTTGTTAGACAAATACATGCTCAGTTCCTATTTTTTTGCCAGAGAAATTCGTCACAGCAACTTACACTTGGCATTGATTCTTCATAAAAAGAACACCACAGGAAGTCATAAATACCACTGAGCAGTGGGTAAAGGCAAAAAAAATGCCCTTCAAGTACAGAAAAATCTTCTGCAGATGCAGGCACAACTGACACCAGGGAGCCATCTAGAGTCGTCATATTCGCCTCGCAGCTGCCTTCAGCCTGTAAACAGGAACCACTAAAAAAAGTGCAAGCCTTAAACTCCGCTTTTGTCAGGGTTAAATGTTTGCCCAGGATAAGAAGGTTTCTCCATCTCCTTGGGTCCTTTTCTAAAGGTAGGTGCTTGTACCTTCTTTAGCAGAAGATTAAGCAAGGCTCACTCTTCTCTTTTAAAAGCAAACAAAAGCAAAGTGTGCCCCTAATGTAATTTTTCTTTCTGGGAAGTGAGAGACGGTTCAAACCCACATCTCCTCCCTCGGGGAAGTGTGCAGTGGCAGCCAAATTATAGATTACTCTGAAAGGACTGGGCACAGGAGGAAAAGAGAAGGATAGGACAGGCTGACAAAAAAAAACCCACCCCAAAATCCAACAACCCCCACCTCCTCAACTACTGACAGACAAGGCACAAAAGGGAAACAATTGTGGCTTAACAGTTATGGCACTCAGTTCAAAGATGGGGGAGATAATCAGCCTGGTCCCTGCTCCCAGGAACATAGCTGTATTTTATATTAGAAGGTGTTTGTCAAATGCCTAGTTATTGAGAATCTGTTGTGTTAGGAAAGAAGTGCAAAATGTTCTCTGTAGCATATGTTTTTTCTAGATTACTTACTCAGAAATTCGGGTGTTCAGTTCTCCTACAGATGTACAGTCAAACCAGCCTATATCCATTCGCATTACTTTCCTGAAATAAGCTTTTCTGATTTTCTGTATCTGACGAGCTGCAGCCATAACCCAAAAGCAGATCTGGGAAAAGCATAACATGGCTGATAAATTGCAGTAAAAAGTCTTCCTACTCCCAATAAATAAGAAAAAGCAATTTGGCTAAAATGGGAAAGAACTTTGGCTATTGATAAAATCAGTATTCAGGTAAAATATATTCTAGCTACATGGACATGATAGTTGTTTTATGCCTTTGATCTTTAAATAATCCCATAATTTTATAAAGCCTCTGGATCAAGCATTTGTCTCAGTTCTGATAGGCTGAGAGGAGATGCAAGTTAAATTACCTGTGCTGTTACATGAATGTCGTACATAAAAAATTTTTTCCATCTACAGCTGTAAGTAATGTAGGGATGGCAGCCATAGCCATCCTAGCTCAGCAAACTCTGGGATAGTTTTCAGGAAGGAGAATGACAAGGATTTTTATGATTATAAAAAGCTTCAAAAACAGTAGACCCTTTAGCAGGAATCATCCAAGCTTATGGCTCATTTCAGTCATAAGGACTGAAGCATTACTGCAGAATATGTAGGGTGTGATTCTTCTCCAACACTAGTTTTACACTAGTATTAGTCTGTAATATCTATAATAGAAGCACGGGGCTCAACACAGTTGAGATGCCTACTGGGAATCTGCATTGCCCTTCAGCTGTTATTTTGGGAGGGCATATAGATTCCATAGTAACTACACTTGAGCAAGTATTTCTTGTGATGAGAAAGGAGCAGCATGCATTCTTCTCACTGGGTAAAACGTATCTTTGTACAAAGGTATGCATACCCAAATCCAACGAGTTCTCAGATTGCCAGAGCTAAACTATTTCAGCCGATAGAATGAGAACTGAAAGCATCTGCTCTGCTCAAACAGGCAGCTGACTAAGCAGTTAAAGGGAACATAATTATTATAAGCTTAATTATTTAGTTATTTAAATTTTGAAATCAAAGTAGGGAATAAAATACTGACTTGGAGGTATCCTAACACAAGTATGGCACAACCAATTCCTGCATAGTAACCTGCAAACTTGGTCATTTCTTGTTCAATGTCCAGCAGCCTGAAAAAAGGGGGGAAAAAAAAAAAAAAAAAAAAAAGAGTTAGCAATACTGTTTTAAGTTAAGTTTCTTACAGACTTCTATTCTGGTGTTTCTTCAAGTTAGAGTCACGTCAGCTGGCAAGCCAGCTTGTTTTGGTAAGAGGCGTTGTTTCCCAATACTGAGGCTACTGCTAGCATTGGTTGTTTTGCTCACTCTGCCTGTCGCACAGGGGTAGGGCACTGGGAGGTACCAGGAAGGGCTCTGCCATCCTGGAGCAGCCCTGCAGTCTCTGAGAAACCCCACCAGACTGCATGCTCTGAAACACCACAGGTGAGAGGGTGTTTCAGGGGAGAGCTGCCCAACAACTTTTCATTAGATGTTGAATGCACTTGCTTTGTGCCCTGATACCAACTAATAACACTCAAATTTAAACAGTGTTTTACAGAGAGAAATGATGGCTGCTAAAGTCGAATTCAAGTATTACTTTGTACCATAAGCTTGTGAATCTGAAATGATAATTTCTTTTAGCTCAAGTAGGAGTATTAAATTACTCCTAATATCAGTGAAGGGCATTGAGTTGCTGCTATTGCATGTAAATTGCTTTGAAATAGGCATTTCAGGTCATTATCAGTTATGCTTTTAGACAACTTTTTTAAAACACCCTGAAGACAGCAAATTTTATTCTGTTTACCCAGAATTTGGACACTGAAATTTTAAGCCAAAAGGGAACACTATACATCTGACCCAATCTCTTGCAAAAAACAATCATGGAAACAACTCAGGTGATGGACACAGATAGCCAGTACCATTTTTAATGCTTTAATGTATCCTGCCTGGTGCATAGTTGCTGCTTCAGAGGATCAGGGGTCTGTAGCAAACTCTGTATTCTATCTATCTGCCAGCCCCATCTCAGAGAGCTGGCTTGGACAGCCTGGGGCATATAATTTGGGCCCAGTCACCTACATCTAGGAATATGAATCACTTCCCACGTGCTCTGAATTTCAGAGACCTTTAGACAAGTAACTTTTAATTCTAATGAAATATCTAATTAAATGTCACTCAGATACTAGAAAATTCTTAGAATGATGCACTGAAAAATGAGCCTTAGGAAAGGTTACAGGTTCAAATTTGCTTTTGACAGATATCTGTATCTGAATGAATCACCTAGACTCCATTTATTATAGTTAATAGAATGAAACAGGCACTCTTATAGGGCAGTTCTTCTGACTTGCCTTAGACATCTCCCATGAGCTAAGATGAATTGCATCCTAGAAGCACCCATTTCTCTTCAATGACTAAAGTTTAGCTAACTTGCTCAGAAGTCAGCAAGCACCTATAGGTACCTAAGTCCTAACCAGAATGACCAGAATCATTATTACCTACAGTGTCATCAAAGGAAACAGATTAGTGAACTTAGATGTGCAGCAGATACACCTGTTATCAGATCATCATCAAAGGATATTCTTGCTGACATCTATAGCTGAAAGACCAAGACCCAAGATGTCATTCTCTCCCTCCAGGTAGTATCTCCAGCTCAGAAACAGGACTCTAACAAGAACCATACCCCTTTTCTGCCTTATGGATAGAAAATGTAAGGTTTAAAGGCTGAAATGGACTTTCACTAGCAATACATTCTCTGACAAGCCATAGTAACAAATGAAAAGAAATACATCTACTACTTACCCACAGCTTATTGTGGCATTCTTTTCATTCTGATGAATAGTACCATTAATCCACGCTATGGTGTTATTTACACATGTCTTGCCTGGGTCTTCAAGCTCTTGCATTTCAATGTCATACTCAATAAATGTGTCTGCCATTGCACCAAACACAAGCAACACAGCTGGCTGGGCTGCTCCATGAACAATAGCACAGAAACTACCAACAGCCATCATTAAAATTTCCATAGATGAAGAAAATCGAAACTAAAGAGACAGGAAAAAAATATGGTCTCTGCTGAGAGGCAGTCTTCATTCTGGCTGTATACTGATAAATCATTAATCAGGTGGATCAGATACAGAATCATTCTCCTTAAGTTTCAGAATTATCTTCAATACAGAAAGAAGACAAATGACTGTCTCTAATCTAATCTAACTGCACTTGTGATTACAGCCTCATAAATTACGATGAGCTCCCTTTTAGTTGACAGCAGAATCTGACCATGTGAATGAATGTATTAACATATAACATTAATAGCTCAATATCATTCCACATTATCATCATTCCAGAAACTAGCTAAAAGATTAAGAATAGTAATTATAATCCATATATATAGTGTGCTTCAGAGATTTCCTGTGGGGATGGAGGGAGAGAGAAGGGAGGAAAAAGCCTTAAGGCATTATGCAGAGCCTCTGAATAGAATTAGCCAATTTCTCAAAAGTCTGGGGTGCTATGGTAGAAAGCCAACTAAACGTCTCAGAGCAAGTTCTCATAATTAATATTCTAAAACATGTTGGCTGAGCTAAGAAATTGTGCACTGGCTCTTAATCTGGGAGAAATGTATAGAAATATGACATAGTAAGCAGTAAAAAAAGGGTTGAGCTAAGTCCTATTACCTTAAATTTACAATGGGCCAAGAGCCGCACACATGCAGCTGGTGACTTGGCTAAGATACAGCAACTTCAGTTACCTTTGTCATGACTGTGTGAAGTTCTCAGGCTGAAGTCATGCATAAATATATAGATCAAACTGTCCATACAGACTATCAGTATCAGATGCTATCTATTTTGAAATAGGAGTGTAAAGAGGAATCATAGCCTGCTGAAGAACCTGTCCAGGTTCTGTAGGTGCTATAATGTGTCTAAGAGAAGAAAGGGTGGGAATTTGGACCACATATGGAAAAGGGGCATTAGGGCGGAGACAAGATAATGGGAAAAACAAGTCAGTTAACATAAAAGAGAAATAAATAAAAGGTCTTTCTACAAAAAAGTCAGAAGAAAACTGTAGCCCTACCACTGTTCTGCAAACCTTGGTCATAAGAAGTCTAGGAATTCCCTTGATTAAAAAAAAAAAAACCAAAACACACACACACACAGAAAATGTACAGATATGTGATATCTAGTTTCTTAGCACACCTAATGCAAACATACTGTGTTTACCAACTGTACTTTAGGAGTCAAACATCTGTCCAAAATAGGGTACAGAACTCAAACCCCTCTGCTTGACAGGCATAGCCCTCTGTGTGGACAGACTGTTCTCTCCACCCAACTAAGAGTTTAGATGCTTCACCAGGTAGAGTACAAGCCACATGGATGTAACTGCACTAGCGCAGTACTACAGTCAGGACCGTATTAGTCTGGACACATTACAGGCTAATTGCCTGTACACGCAAAACAGAAGTAATAAAACCTCTTAGCTGCATGCTGCTGGGTTGGACATCTACTACATTAATTTTAAAATTTAGATGCACCGTATGGCATTTCAAGACCCATCAAAGGCTAGACAGACCAGTATTGTACATTCCCAACTTTCTGTAGTTACCAAATTTTCTAATATCCATGGAGCAATTACAAGGGAGCTGAATTATCTACCAAGATCACACAGCAAATTTTTCACAGAAATAAGAATGAACCAAGGTCACCTAGATCCCTGCTGTGCATCCTAATTCTTTTCCTCACATATACCTGTAGATTGAATATAATGTGTTTAATGGACAATGATGACACAAATATTGATAATTGATACCAAGCTGACAAAATGACAAAGGATTCTATTAAATTCCCATTGACTTTAATGGCAAGATTTCATGCCAAACGGTTTAATCCTTAAAAGTTTGGCTTAGTCACAGCTATTCCCCAAAACAACCGTATTGTCACTTACTCTGCAGCACAATACACATAAAATATTTATAGTCATTGCTTTCATTACCAGCTGAAAGAAGCCAATGTGAATAGTGTTTTCTTTCTTTTCTGATGACCTTCAAGAACAGAAAAACATAAAATTAGAAACTTGTATTTCAGTACATATTTTGTTCTATATGCAAAGATAGTACACAGAATTGAACTTAACTCACTTTTCACTTTTCTTCTCTATAAAAGGTTCTTCAGATGTGTAGAAATTCCTAGCAAAAAGGATAAGATTTTACATTAATTCTTTTATTCTCTTGCTTACTTCTCTGAAATTACATTTTATTTGAGATATTTTGCCCAAAATTTTGAGAGACAGGCTGTTTCTTTCAGATTTCTTTCAGAACCAGTGATTTGATGGTTCTTTTAAGTTTTAGACAGGGACTAGAAAGGAGGCTAGGTTAAAAAATCTGAAGGTTTATGCTTTGTTTCATAAGCAGCTCCTCAAAACACTGTTGCTATAATGTGGATTGTGGGTTCTTAAAGGTCACTTAGAGAAAAACCTACCATCCAAATTGTTGGCTAGACCTAGACAAGGGTCCTATTCCCACTCATTCTTATATTGCCTGTATGTTCATATGTCCACAGTGGCAGTACAATCTCTCACCTTACCATACAGCATTTTTTTCAGTGCTCATATTATGTGTTGCTATGTGTACATTCAGTGATGAATGAGTGAGGATTTTGAATTTGGATATTATATTTTTAATGAATCAAATTAATTCAAGCTTTATTTGTCATGGACAGTTCTCAGAAACCAGATCCTAGGAAGCCTGAAGGAAGCTTCCTATGTGTAGCAGGTAGGACCATATATGTGTTATATGTTAAAGTCCAACAGAATTTGGGTTTCAAGATGTGCGAGGACCATGGTAGACCTTGAATACTGGGCTGGTGCTCTTTGAGGTGGGCAACCTGACAAAGACAAAAATTAAGAGATGCTCTTGCTTCCTCATTCTAGGAGTAGTTCTTAGTCTGTGTACACTGTGTCAGAAAGAGTTGGCACAAATTACAGCACACAGTAGGATGTCCAGTCTGCTACAGAGTTGCCCCAAGAGGTAGGCTCTTAACCCCATTCAAACCTCAGATTATAGCTGAAGGTCAGTGTCTCTAAGTCATTTCAGCTTTTAACTATCTAGAATTCTACGTTTAAATCTTAATATCTGAGCTTAAATTATGTGAGCGAATTCCTTTTGTTTTAAACTCTCACTGTTATGCTTTAAGAAAAATTAATCAAGATTGATTAAAATTTCTGAAAAACTCATTTCTCAAACTAAAAGCACTGAAGAAAGATAAATTCAAATATCAAAAATATTTTCAGAAGAAAGACCATGTTTTGCTGCCATTACTCTGTGAATTTAAAGGTTTCTAGGACTGTTTTGGTCTACCTGTGTCAGCTGTATCAAATAAGGCAGGTCAACTCCTAGAGAACATCTTTTCATTAAATACCATATATTCTATAAATGCATCAATTTGATCAGATGACATTAACTTCTCTGAACATTCCTAGAAATATTGATTGTTCTGTTTGTGTACACGACTTACTCTGATTTCTTGAAGCTGTTACCTGTTAGGGAAAACAAATGCATAGACTAGTTAATAATTATTGTTAAAGTACATAATCCTCGGTAAACATGTGAAACATAAACCCTAGAACCCCATGGCACCTGACCATTCCTGACTTATAAGCATCTTATTCCCACTGGTACATCTAGCCAGGGACATGAACTGACATGGGTCCAAGAATTCCTTAGTAAGTTTATACCAATTTATGCCTGCTTTCTCTTGTAGAAGTAGACTCAAGTTTTCAATCCCCCAAATGACAAGATGGTTGTTGCTGAATACATTATTCAGGACTATTGCCAAAAGTCAACTCATTTTCATCGCAAACTGCTTGCTAGTGTTCAACTAGTTCTCTTGGACACTGGCTTATCAAGGAATGCTACTCTCCTGGCAGTCCATTCATGCTCCCTGAAAAGAGGAGCAGTAGATCTTCACTTTTGCCTTTCAACAACTTAGAGACTGCAAATCCTGTGGAAGAGGGGCAGCTGTGCCACTGGAGGGTGAGATGAACTTGTCACACTGATGTGCGATTCATGGGATACTCTCAGATACATATCTCAGTGAAATGGAATTATACTACAAGATATTGTTATGCTGTAGGGCAACTCCTTAGTCCCCAGAACAGGTCTGGATTTAGCTCCCTTTCAAGGGATGTTGTTAAAGATGTCATACCTAAAAAGCACAGTTTGTATCTGCAGGGGCTGTAGAAAATATTTGCTGTGCATCGCTTGAGATGACAATGAATAAAGAGCTAGTTTTATGTATACAGCACAGTTTGGATAATCTAAGGGCACTGGGCATATGCACCTTGCTCATTTACGATGCACTTGGCAGTTCAGCATGGTATACCGGGTTCAGAAACATGGTATGCTTTCCAAGCAGTGCCTTCCTTTCTTCACATCTAGTGACACAACACTGAGCATGCACAGGCCTGTCTCACACAGCAAACACAGAGGAACTTTACATCGCAATTCAATAAGGGTGCAAAGAAGTCACTGCAGCCACAATTTTGCCTCCATTTTCCTACCCAATGGAAGAAGGCTTTTCCACTGTCTCCAGGGTTTTGCATTTCCCAAGGCAACAATGTTAGATGGAAGCGGTCTGAGTTTGAGACTGAGAGAACAGCTGATTACCTCTCCTTTTTGGGGTTGTTAAGATAACTTTATTTGGCTTTAGCTAACAATTACTCTATTGGGTTTATCCTGCTCTGTTTGTTATTCAGGGATGGTAAAAAGATTCTTTCAATAAGGACGTATGTTTCCACAATGAGTCAACCATTGGAATAATCTCCCCAGGGAAGTGGTTGACTCCGCCACATTGGACACTTTTAAGACTCAGCTGGACAGGGTGCTGGGCCGTCTTGTCTAGACTGTACCCTTACCTAGAAAGGTTGGACTAGATGATCCCTTGAGGTTCCTTCCAACCTAGGATTCTATGATTCTATATGACTATCCCAGACATTTTCCAGGAAGGTTTTAATCCGTAAAATTATTATTACAAAGAATCATTCGGTGTTAGAAAAGAACTGATTGTGAAGGAAAAGAAACATCTGTTTGCAGGTTTTTGAAGTTGGGCAGCTGGTAACAGCTGTAATGGTTTGAAACCATTCCTAGAAGATTCTCCAGGGTTTATCGGAAAAGGTGAGGTTGAGAGAAAGCTTCCTCCTCAGGGTGGTAATGCAAAGTGTTTTGCAAAAAAATGAAGGAATTGGGTACTGGGAGGAAAATGGGAGGAATTAAAGAGTCTGGTGAAATAGCTTTCTGAGTCATATCAATTCAGAGAGCAAAATAAGCATTCTCTGAAGGTGAAGAAATCCTGATCTATGAACTTGAAGAGGGAAACAAGAGTATATCAGTGCTATTCAGGAGTGTGAGGAACTGTAGGCCAGCTCTTGTGGGCCAGGCGTTTTTAAGCAGGAGTAGAATTTAGAATGATGTTACCTGTCCTTAATTTGAAAGAAAAAAACAGATGAGTAACAGTTCACAGTGCTACAACTGAAAAAAAAAATAGAAAAAGAACATAGAACACGATTTGTATTGAAAAGAAAAGAATATAGGGAAGATGAAAGAATTTACTAACCCTAATTAAAAACCCCTATAGTTATCTTTGAATTATAAAAAAATTTTGAAAGGGGAACTAAGGCATTTAAGACAAATTTTATTATTTCAAAAAAGCACAGAATCAAGGAAAAGCTAAAGAACATTGCCAAGAATTTGAGTTTTTACTGGTATTGTGAGAACACAGTAAAAGTTAAGCCTGAGGAAATCTGATACTTAACTCAAGTGGTGAAAAACTGCACTCAAAAGGCTCCCAACTAAAGCTGGCTCTTAACTACACCTACAGATGTGGTGTTCAAGGGTTGATCCAGAGGGGGCTAATTCTCACTAATATGTACAAAAGAGAGTTACTGAAACAAAACTCACTGGACATTACAGAGCAGAAGAGATCAATCTGCACAATGTCAGTAGGGTTTTAAAGCAATGTATGCTTCCTTTGGGAAAGGTGCTCTTCAACAAACTGCTCACTACATTAAACAGAAAACACAGTGCATTTCCAAGGAAACTGAGAAATCAGACAAACTCACTTGGATAGGCCAAAAAAAAACCCAACTGTGAAAAGAGGAATAGCTTTTTCTCAATAGAAAGTCTTTTGCCAAAATCCTACAAGTAAAAGCGACAAGTACGTAGGACAAACTAACAGACAAATACCAACCCCTCAAAACAGCTAGATAAATCTGGGCAATCTGGGAGAAGCTCTAAGTAAGTGGACGAACAGTTTTCTGTCCCAGAAGTAGAAGGACATACCCCTTTACCTATTAGCTCCCTTTTCTCCTCATTCCTCCCCACTCTCCACCATTGTTAGAGCCCACAATGCTCCATGCATTGAAACTGCCTTCAATTAGCAGCTGAAGTGAGAAGTTTTAAAAACAAACCAAAACATGGCAGGGGAGAGGAGTGGGGAGATCTGTACTGCTTAAGCATGCAGATGGCTGCTCATTCCAGCAGGATGCAGAGCAGTGTGCTGGGGTAGCAATATACTGGGGACAGAGCAGACTTTCAGAAAACATTCACATAGGTTTCTTTCACAGTCATGGAGCTGAGGTTGCTGCTGCTGTGTTTCAGACTTTAAAATCAGCTGCAGAATCTAGGATGTCAGTTTTGATTTTAAGAATACATTCAAGTTATTCAGAGAATAATTTCCTATACTATCTTCTTACCAGCTGTAACAATAGATTTGAAGTTCCTAACAAAACCAGACCTTTGAATCTGTTGAATAGGAGATTATCTAGTCTAGGAGAATAATCCCAGCAAAGTGAAAGAGATTTGATGGAGGATGGTTAAAACCAAAGGAATTATCTGGCTAACACAGAGAGACAGAAGGTGGGAACATAATACCTTCTGCACATGAAGCCCTTGTTCAGTTTCTAGTGACAGACCAAAAAAACCCCCACATGTACTGTCTTCTAACAGAACAGCTGCTTTTATGTTAGATAACCACAATCAGGGTTTAGTCCAAACTCAGACTGAATACTCCAAATGTGTTCAAACTCTACTGTTACGCCAACAGTCCTATGAGACATCCTATTACAGATAAAGATCAGAAGGAAATCTCAAACCCAAACAATGAATGATACTAGATTTGAAATACAGATTTAGCATCAATCAGCAACTAATAAGTTTTAAAAAATAACAGACAACACAGATCAAGTTATAGCTGGGGCACTGTGCTGCTATATGGCTGGGAAAGATGCTTGAAGAGGGCTCTCTGATTAAAAATCAGTTATAAGATCTTGGAAAAGTTTTATCATTGCCTGAAATTCCATTATATACATAGTTATGTCAAAAAATTTTCTGCATGCCACAAATTTTAACAAAAGGTAGGTGCATGGTTCCTGTGGACTGAAAAAGGCTGAGGCTAGACTGCCTTAAACCTGAGCTGTTGTCCAGGCAGGGGGAAAAAATTCACTGTAACTCAGGCTAGTATGGTTTGCTTTGATTTCCTTTTGTTCATGAAAAATAGTTCCAAGAAAGAGGGACTGTCTCTCAACACGAGTCTCCAGTTTTCTGCAGGTAATCTGTCATAAAGTATTTCAAGTGAAAAAAAACCCTGCATAGTCTTTACCACTATCCAGATTGATTGTTCTAACAATACATCTGATGAATTAAAAGAAAAAAAGAACCCACGATAAAAAGCATCCCTCTTCCTCAAGCTGTGTTTTCATTCAGAACTGACCCAAGAG